CCATCAACAACCGGAACCCATTACACAGCTCCTTCATGAACCCTTCAGCTCCTAGTTTCTCCACCATGGCTGGGAAAAAATCCTCGAAAACAACCCCAATTTGTGACTCCATTTTCAAATTCAGATGATGGCACAGTTAACGGTGATTGCAAGTAGTGGTATTATATATAGGATATAAAGAGAATCAATCAATGCTTAGGATAAAAGGAAATAAAGAAGTGTTGGAGGAAGGCGGGGGGAGGAAGGAGCATCGATGACAACGAATGCAAAGGTAAAAGGAAGGTTGTTGACACCGGCGTTTTGCTGAGGTATAAATTCATGGCGGTTTCTTTTGCGAAATTGATCTCCTTCCTCGAAGTTGCATGGGGAAGTACCAGGTTGGTGACATGGGATTTGTTTTCCTCTTACAAGATTGGTTTTATTTGAGTGAATTAATAAAGCACCATCCTACTTAAAAAAATGTATTCATTTCTGTCTGGTTTTGACCCACCAGGCACCAGAACAGAAATGCCAAGGAACGCAATTTCAAATCGTGACCCTGTAATTAACAATGGTAGAAATGAGGAAAGTCGTTAATGGGGTTGCGAAATGGGAAACTTCTCATGAGAGTTCCATTCTGTTTCCTTTCTAAAACCATTTGCATTAACCGCTAAGCCAGAGATCGCCTATCTTTTAGCCAAATTATAATTGGTAGGTACTCTGGCTGGAGAGGCCCTTTGCCAAAAGGGAAAACATAATGAAAATCCATAGATACAATTCAGATGCATTTACATAATTCATCTTGTTTTTTGGATAGCAAATACGGTCTGTATAATATATATTATCTACCCTCAAAAGTGATGGTTAGTTCGTTGTTAGAGCCAGTTCCTTGATTGCTGGAAGAAGCAAGGCTTTCGGAGAACCTTTTGACGACAAAAATCGGTTGTCTAGGATTGGGAACAACTGCAGTTTCACTAGAAAGCATGAACACTACCTCAGTCATGGTTGGTCGATCTGCTGCATCATCTTGTACACATAACAGCGCAACCTGGATGCACCTCAATGCCTGTCCTTCATTACAGTCTTCTCGCAAAGATGGATCCATCAGATCCAATCCCATGTTTTCATACCATAGTTTCCAAGCCTGGTTGGAAATTTGCAGCAATATTTTAGGCTAAGGAATAATGAATCTAGGTACAAATAAATAGAATATTTTGGCACTTACATATCCTAGGAGAGTTAGGGCTTGTTCCTTGTGATAGAATAATGTATTTCTTTTCCCAGATACGATCTCAAGGACTACAACCCCAAAGCTGAAGACATCAGATTTTATTGAGAAGAGTCCATCTATTGCATATTCGGGGGACATATAGCCACTGCATTTTAATGTTGTATCAAAAGGGTTTGTGAATTAGTAAAGAAAAGAGAAATCTATGTTAGGTCTGTAAAACTTACTATGTGCCCACAACTCTGGTCGTATTTGCCTGCGTTTGCTTTCCACCAAATATTCTTGCCATTCCAAAGTCTGAAATCTTAGGATTCATTTCCTCATCTAGAAGAATGTTGCTGGTTTTGAGATCTCTGTGAACAATCCTCAACCTAGAATCTTGATGAAGATATTGAAGTCCTCTGGCAACTCCAACCACAATGTTATATCTCATTTCCCAGCTTAACAATAGGCACTTCTTTGGATCTAAAAAGTTCCCGATGTCATTTTCTCTAATCTGAATTAAGAAATGTCAAATTATATTTTTGAAGAGTTAGGTTTATAACTGGTCTTACCAAAGACAATTGAGTCCAAACTTCTATTTGGCAAGTACTCGTAAATCAACATCTTTTCATCCCCTTTCATACAATAACCAAGAAGTCGTACTAGATTCCTATGTTGGAGTTTGGCAATCAATACAACTTCATTCTTGAATTCCTCCAGGCCTTGTCCAGAACTCTTTGAGAGCCTCTTCACTGCTATTTCCTGTCCCCCACCAAACTTTCCCTGTCAATTTGGACAATTGATAATCACTACAAGGTTGTGGTCACAAAACACACACACATGGTTCATTGATTTCTCCATTAAAAAGCGCTTTGAAAAAGAATCTTACCTTATATACTGGCCCAAATCCACCTTGTCCAAGTTTATTTGAAAGCGAGAAGTCATCTGTAGCAGCTACAATCGTTTCAAAATCATAGAATGGCACATCTATGCTTTTTGTTCTGTCTTCTTGGAACTCATCAAATCCTACTAATTCTTTGGCACCATTATCACTTTCTTTGTTTGGAAAAGTTGACTTTCCTTCAAACATATTCCTTTGAGCTAAATTTGGAAAAATCCTTTTAGAGTTCTCAAAGAACTTAACATGGAAAGAGAAAAATAGTGAACAGTTTCATTATTTAGAGGAGTAAACCATGCTCACCTCTTCTTATGGTCATCTTTCTCTGGAAAAATATAATACCAACGACAGCAACAGCTGTAAAAACTATTCCAGCTATGGTACTTAAAGGAATCACCAACAATAATGCTTTGCTATGCTGTGAAGAACCATTCCACAGGTTCTTGTTTTCAATATCTGTAATGAGAGGTCAAGTAACATTTATATATAAACTCGGGGGTTATCCACGATTGCACTGCATTTATTAGGAGAAGTCATTTTATACATAGTATCAGAAATTTCACTCACCAGGAACACAATTTGCAGATTTGGAATCCCAGTGGAAGCCAAGAATGCAGCTGCACCACCCACTTTCATCACTTTCTGCATTATGCTGGCAAGTTGTATTGGGAAATTGGCTGCAATTTTCTTGTGAATTGCAACTATGCTGTGGTTGTATGCACAATGCCGATGTTTTTTGAGTGTCACAGCTTACTAAATAGCCCCAAAAACAGAACCTTTTACTAATAAGTTAAGTTTCATGGCAGTAAAAAGGGAAGATAGTTTACGGCCAAAAAAATTAGGGAAGATAGTTCCCACGTAAAAACAATAGCAATAAGAGAGACTAAACTTAATTGAATGATGTTGCAAGGCATACCTGAAGCAGCAGTACCAGCTACAAAACGGACCTTTATCATTCCTCCAAAAGAATCACTACTCTTGAGATCCTTCAGCTCCTCATCACTGCTCCATAACCAGCAGGTAGAAGGCTTGTTTTTTTCAACTGCACGAGCAGTACTACTTTCAAAAAAGTAGGCATTGCAGCATTTCTTTTTGCAATCCTTTATGCAGTCTTCCTCACTAATGGCATCAAAATGCGAAAGTGGGTAACTCACTTTGTCTAACTGTACAGGGAAAAAGTCTTCTTGCGAACTGCAACCTTCTATATTCCTCTGACACCCCCTGGAGTAATCAGTAGATCCAGCCTCTGTCTTCAATTTTGGTTTAAACCCTGGTAAGCATGTGCAATTAGGCTTGACGTTTTTCCCAACGCTACAAACGCCATAGTCTCCACAAACTTGATAGACGCTGCATACGTCGCTTGGTTTTGTCCAATTCAAAGACCAATGATTGGTTCCATCCATCCATGTAAAGAACTCAATATGGCCAGATAAATTCATCACAAGCCTTTTCTTATTATTCGGTGCTGGAACTGTCTTGTAACTGTTGTTATTGTCTGCAGGGATCATCATGCTGATCAAATCATCTGGTACATCTTTGAAGGAGGCATACTTACCCGACCAACCACTCATCCAATAGGTGTCTGAATGGTTCCGAATGATAAACTGGTTCAGATTCTGATCAAAATAAAAAGAGAAATCTCCAGGAGCTGGATCACTGTTGCTCTTCCATGATAGGAGGTTTTCCGTTTTCATATTCATACCCGGCAGAAATGTATTGCTTACTGCCGAGAAACTTTCCCATAGGATATCCTTACCTTGAAAAGTATGGTCTGTCAGGGTATAATGGGAGCAACCTAAAGGCCCAATACATTTTCTAGCATTTCATTTAACCCAAAAATGGGAGGAAGAGCGATTAGCTGGAAAAACTTTT